GAGGTCATCTAGTCCAACCCCCTGCTCAGGCAGGAAACCCTATACCATTTCAGACAAATGGCTGTCCAGTCTCTTCTTAAAAACTTCCAGTGTTGGAGCATTCACCGCTTCTGGAGGCAGGTTGTTCCACTGGTTAATTGTTCTAACTGTCAGGAAGTTTCTCCTTAGTTCTAGGTTGCTTCTCTCCTTGATTAGTTTCTTGTCCTGCCTTCAGGTGCTTTGGAGAATAGCTTGACTCCCTCTTCTTTGTGACAGCCCCTGAGATATTGGAATACTGCTATCATGTCCCCCCTCGTCCTTCTCTTCATTAAACTAGACATACCCAATTCCAGCAGCCTTTCCTTATATGCTTTGGCCTCCAGTCCCCTGATCATCTTTATTGCTCTTCTCTGTATTCTTTCTAGAGTCTCAACATCTTTTTTACATCGTGGTGACCAAAACTGGATGCAGTATTCCAAGTGTGGCCTTACCAAGGCATTGTAAAGTGGTATTAATACTTCATGTGATCTTGATTCTATCCCTCTGTTAATGCAGCCCAGCAGTGTGTTGGCCTTTTTGGCAGCTGCAGCACACTGCTGGCTCATATTTAAGTGATTGTCCACTAGGACTCCGCGGTCCCTCTCACAGTTATTACTATTGAGCAAGGTACCCCCTATACTATACCTGTACATTTGGTTTTTCTTGCCTAAATGTAGAACCTTACTTTTTTCACCATTGAATTTCATTTTGTTAGCGCCCAGTGTTCAAGTCTGTCCAGATCCTCCTGTATCCTAAGCCTGTCTTCTGGAGTGTTGGCTATTCCTGCCAGCTTGGTGTCATCTGCAAATTTGATGATTTCTCCATCTATCCCCTCGTCCAAATCGTTGATGAAGATGTTGAAGAGCACTGGGCCCAGAACAGAGCCCTGGGGCATCCCACTACACACTTCCCTCCATGTAGATGTGGTTCCATTGAGGACCATACGCTGAGTACGGCCGGTCAGCCAGCTACGGATCCATCTGGTGGTGATGCTGTCTAACCCACATTTTTCTATCTTATCAAGTAGTAGGTTGTGATCTACTTTATCAAATGCCTTACTGAAGTCCAAGTAAATTATATCCACAACATTCCTCTGATCCACTATTTTGTCACTTGGTCAAAGAATGCAATAAGATTTGTCTGGCATGATCTGTTTTTGACAAACCCATGTTGGCTTTTGGTAATGACTTTGTTTGCCTCTAGGTGTTTGCTGATTCGTTGTTTGATTATCTTTTCCAGAATCTTCCCAGGTATTGAGGTCAAGCTGATAGGTTTGTAATTTCCTGGGTCCATTTTTTTCCATTTTTTGAAGCTGGGAACTACATCAGCTCTTTTCCAGTCCTCCGGTAGTTCCCCAGTGCTCCAGGATCTTTGAAAAATATAGTTCAATGGTTCTGAGATCACATCTGCCAGTTCCTTGAGAACCCTGGGGTGTAATCCATCTGGTCCTGGTGATTTGAACTCGTCTAGGCTGGACAGGTGTTCACTTACCGTTTTCTTGCCTATCTTAACTTGCGTTTCTATTCTGTTTTTCATGGCACTATTTTTGGTAGGTTGGTCTGCTTTTTCCCTTTCTGTAAAGACAGATGCAAAAAAATGAGTTAAATAGTTCTGCTTTCTCCCTGTTGCTTGTCACCTTCTTCCTACTTTCCCCCACTAATGGACCAATCATTTCCTTCACTTTTTTCTTGTTTTTTACATGTTGAAAGAAGCTTTTTTTGTTATTTTTGACTTTGGTCGCAAGCCTTAGTTCATTTTGAGCCTTAGCTTTCCTCACTTCATCTTTGCAGGCTCGGGCTATTTGTTGATATTCTGACTTAGTTATGTGCCCCTCTTTCCACTTTCTATAATTGTCCTTTTTATCTTTCAGTTTATCAGAGAGTTCTTTATGCAGCCATGCTGGGTTTTTTTGAGAGCTGTTATTTTTCCTCTTTATTGGTATTGTGCTGGACTGGGCTTTTATTATCTCACTTTTCAAAATTTCCCAAGCTTCTTGAGTTGTTTTCCCCTGGAGGATTCTCATCCATGGAATCCTTCCCAAACCCTCTCTAAGTTTATTGAAATTAGCTCTCTTAAAGTCCAAGACTCTAGTTTGACTGTGTTCTACTGCTTGTGCTTCCATAATATTGAATTCCAATACTGCATGATCACTTCCTCCCAAGGTTCCTGTGGCTTCAACACCTTCTATCATTTCATCTCTGTTAGTGAGAATTAGATCCAAAATGGCTAATCCCCTAGTTCCCTTCTCTACTTTTTGGGAGACAAAATTGTCTGCTAGGTTTGCAAGGAATCTGTTTGATCTTCCACTTGGTGCAGAGTTTGTCT